TACACACCCGGCTCCCCACGCTGAGCCTCTCTGGGGCTGCACAGGAGCGCAGCGGAAGCAGGCAGGACCTCGGGTCTGGAAATCCACCCGCACTGCTTCAGAAATCAGGGCTGCTGCTTGCACGCCTGGTCCGGCCCCTCCTGTGCCTGGGTGTCACCCACGGCTGTGGGAATCGGACACCGCAGAGGAGCCCTGGCCCACCGAATGAGTGGTGGGCAGCACAATATGCCAGCACCACAGCAGAGAAATGAGTGTGCGCTGTCATTATGTTTATTATCTGACACTCGCGCGAGGCTGGAGGTGGAGCTCAGTACCAGAATGTCGGCCTAACGAATGAGGCCCCAGGTTCAATCCCTCACGCGGCCAGAAGCCAAAATGGGGAGAGGGTGACCTTATTCTGCTTTTTAATAGCCAAGATACCTGCTTTCACAAGGACCTGAAAAATCCCCTTGCTCCTTTGCTCACAGCAATATATGCTCTGGTTTCTCTTCAGAGCATATAAATGTTTCCTCTTATGCTCACAGCAGACAAGAACCTGGAGAAAAGTCATTCATGAAAGCCAGACTTCCCCACTAGTTGTTAGAACTGTCAGGTTTGGGGCACAGTTCTTTTTTTTTAAGCCATGATGAATAGAATCTCTCTCAATTGAGTCGTCTGCTTTCCTGACTTAATGAAGAAAATGAGCTTAAAAGCACCTGCCCTCGTCTAGGACTGGAGGTGAGTTCTCAGCTAGGCCGATGCCATCACAAACTGCGTCCACCTCTCCTGCCTCTCCGGCCACTTCTCCCTCACTGTGTCATCCTCACAGGGTGTCCTCACATCAGCAGCTACTTCAAGGCCTTTCAAGCTGAGAGAAGGTTGGGGACACTTGGAGCTGGGAGATGCAAAGGCCTGGGACAGCTCTCAGGAAATCCTCCCTGTGATGCACCAAGTTCCAAAGTGACACTCAGGTCCCCGCTTCCAATAGCCCTCACCTGGTCCATACACAAATGGAGCAAAAATCTGAGGGACTCAGGAGCAAGACCTGCCCCTGCCCGCTCATCAGTAAGACGGGCAGTGGCTGAGTCACACTGGCTCTTCCGAGGTCCCCAACCCTGCACCCAGAAGGCTCAACACCCTCCAACCCCAAGCACAGACCCGCCATGACCTGCACGGGCAGCCTGTGCCGTCTTCCCAAGTTCCATGTCTTCCCCCCGAGGGCTCTGGGCAGGTGCAGACCTGCTTCTGTCCCCATGACACTCCGGGCGGTGTCCCTTGGGGACAGGCCTGTGCAAATTCATGGCTTACTGGGCTCCAGCTAGCATGCCTGCTAGAGCGTGCTTTCACCACCTTTCCTGTACTTGTCTCACTGGAAGAGATGCGCGCGGCTTTGTAATCCCAGCCTCCCCCAGACCTGGCATTGCCTGCCTCTTCCTATTGGGTGACATCTAGAGAAACCGCTGCTTCTGCTGTGGCCATACAGCTTGGGATTGTGGAGACACCCAGATGGGTGTTGTGTCCACTGGGAGAAGTATAAGGGCGCTGGAGGGCGAGGAAAAAATGTGCCTGCTTTCTCTCTACGCGGTGCCAGCTTGCATTGAGATCTTTCACCACCTAAAACTCAGAGATAAACAAGCGGCAGACAAAGATGATAAAAAGCCACTTCATAAAACCAATTATTAAGCTCTAATATTCATCCTGTTTGACTTGGTAACTAGATATAACAGTAACCAAAACCCACAGCAGCACCTGGGAATGATTTCTGACTGTTAACAGGATCCTCGCTCTTTGCCAAGAAATTACTTCTCTCTGCCATCTCCAAAACAGCAGCAGCAAGTCCCCCAAAACAGGGGCATTTGTTGTAGAATTCAGGCTTCTTTCCACTGGCAACAAAAGTAAGTAAATAAAAGGTATACTAGGTGAGTTCAAGTGACCCTTAACTCCCTGAACTTCACTGCACTGGAACAAAAAGTTTGGCCACTAATTATGTTAAAAACACAAACTGCAGGCCACCATGCCCACCAAGGAAATAACCAGCCACCATCTAATTGCGGAGAGCTGAATCCCCATGAACACAGTAAGTGCGCTCCTGGGTCCACTGCACCTATCACCCTAACCCTACGGCCCGCCTGGCAAGCAGAGTGTAGACAACAGAACAGAGCAGCCGCCCACACCAGTGAGCAAGTGTGGACCCCTGCCAAGCAAACGCACACCTGCTCCACCACGTAGTCCCCAGGCTCGAGAAAGGCAGCACTCAGCTGGGCCTGGACCATCACAGTGCCGAGGCCACCACCAGCCAAGACACCACGGCCTCCCCAGGTCACCCAGGCCGCTCAGCTGGAACAGGGTCTTAGCAGCCTTAGGTTTGAGAACTAGGATTAGCAAGGTGGCCCGCCCTGGCCACTGTCCCACACCACCTGTGACTTTCTGGCTCGTCCCTAAGCAGCAACCTCTCATCTGACTGCCTAAGCCACGCTCTGCCACTCCAGGGAGCTCTCCACATCTGTCTTATCCTCCTCCGTCCAGATTGGCACAACAGGCATTGCACAGCCTGAGGACAAAGTCCACCAGCTGTGCTTCCGGACCCGGGGAGAGCTGTCAGGCCAAACAGGCTGGGCTGTGCTGAAACGCAGCCGTGAGTGACGTTCTGCAGAGCCCAGGGCACACTCCATAGCACGCTGGCACTCACTCGGGGCCTCTGGGAAGAAGGGGTAACACTACCTCCCACCTCACCACGTCAGCCCAAGCAATGACAGTCATAAGGCGCTCAGCGCAGCTGCTGGCATATACTATCATTTGAGCAGCTGCTACTACTACTAAAAATATTAGCACTAGGCAGCTACTACTAAGTGAGTTCGGGTTCCAATGAACACTGGCGCTATTGTTGATCGTACTAATGCTAAAGTAGTACTGAAGAATACCGTGCTCCTGGGTATAAACCCTACCAATACGGCCCCCGCAGCTACTTCTAGTGCTGTGCTGGCACTGGTGGGTCCTGCATGGCTGCTGCTGAGCACTGCACTGCGTAGCACTACTACCTGATGGGTGCTGCTGCCCCCGAGTATGAACCCCCACTGCTGCTGCTGCTGTGCTGTGCTGCTCCTACTACCACTGGCTTTGAACCGCTTGTCAGGTACTTTTCTGCCATGACTCCTCGAGGACCAACCTCCTAAAAGAGAGGCACCAGAATAAGCTTTCCTGGGGGGGTGGGGGGCTGGTGTTCCCAGAAGTCCCACATCCACCACCCAACAGTAATGCATGTGACGGCAGCGCTCCCGGCACCCAAGGGGGCTGTCCTCCCTCACCCAGCCTCTCTCTCTGCCTGCATCTCACAGTAGCTCTCCCAGAAGACTGCGCTGATCTGAAAGGGGCCTGGCCACCAGCTGGACCAGCAGGCAGCCTGTGACAACCACAGGGCCCGAAAGTCAGTTCAAACGCAACCTCCCAGGCCACTTTCAGGATCCAGCTGTCTCTTGTTCCCTAAGCACCTTGTAACGCAGGGTAATCAGGAGACGGGGAACAGGGGGAGGCTCGCTCCAGGAGATGAGCCAGCACCCGTGGGAAGCCACCCTGCACTGCCTGTCCTGCGGACACCTCACCAGAAACCTGCAGGGGCACTGGCACATCTGAGGCTGACCTGGAGAGCTCTGCTCACCAGAGGCTTGGCTGTATTGGGCCAGGAAACCATTCATGCACAGGTACAGCCACACCAGTTTAATGTTCTACTTATTCCAAACTGAGACTTCCTGTGCCCAGGCAGAAATCTGGCACAGGTCAAAGATGGGCAGGGGAGCCCGGGGAACCCAGTGTTTACATATCCACCCTGCCTGGCACAACGCTGCAGCAGCCTCCAAAGGAGGGCAGGTGGCCTCTCCAAGGCAGAATGCACCTTCTGGCACACAGGCTTGCGCTCCTTTGTCACCAGTGAAAATGTAAATCTCTAGGGCACTAATCCTCGTGCCCACTGTCTGTCAGTTCCCCCTGGTTTTCTCCAGCCTCCTTGGGGAGAGCTGGCGACCACCTCCCCCTGTTGTAATGTCCTTTGACACCCACAAATTGTGAATAGGAGCCATAGCCCCAGCTCACTTCAGATCAGCTGCCCGCCCACCTTGCTCCTCCATATGCCCTGGGGCCACCTCTGCAGAATCCTGCTTTGAAAGCCACCCTGTTGCAGAACTGCATTTTCTATTCCAACCTTCTCTCACAGAGCCCCAAAGCTCCTGTGGCAGCTGTTCCTACTGAAGGCACAGCTAAGTGTTCAGTATCCTCTCCTGAAAACCAGGCACCTCAGGCACAATACCAGCTCACTGGCAGACCCCAAGGAAGCCCTTCAAGGTAACAGAGGTCAGCAGTTGGCTTTGTTTTCCACTAAAGCTCCCTTCTGCATTCTCGACAATGCTGTGCTACCAACACCCCACTTCCAACCAGCAATCCACCCCACCAAGGAGGTCTACAAGCCAGGACAGGATGGGCAACATCCAAATTCACTGAAATTCAGAGTAAAGTTGGACATCCTGTGTGCACAGGACCTGGGGCCCCAGTGCTGGCCCAGTGGGAAAGGGCAGCTCCCTGAAGCTGCAGCCAGCTCTGGTTGCCTGGGGCACCACAGCCGGACCAGGGACAGGACTTGAAGCCTGGCCTCCCTAGGAGCGAAAAGGTGGCACAATACCTTCCAGGGGAAGTCTGCATCCCTCTTGGCAGGACTAGTTTAGTAATAATTTGTGGAGCACAGGTAAGATGTCTTCTATATTCCTGACGCTGATACAAACTTATTTTTTCCAAACTGCAGGGTATAGCGCTTCAAGGTCAGTTGGAGAGTCCTGGAGAGACTCAGGCTGACTATCAACACTGGCATGGTTTGCTAAGCACCAACACTGTCCCAGCATGGTAGAAGGCTGTGACATCAGGCTTTAATATGTTAGAAGAAGAAGTAATAATGGCCTTGAGCTTCGGGCCCCTAAGTACTACTGAGGGGACAAATGCAGCTGCTGAGCTACGCCCACCTGTGTACAGACATTTACCTCAATGAGTGTAAAAATTCCCAAAACTAGGTATGATTTCCAGTAACACTTTATGATTGCTTTTGTCAAAGAAGGCTTGCACGCATCCTTCTGGGCTCGGAAGACTTCTTTGTCCCAATACCTACAATGAAACAAAAGCTGAGTCAAGAAGAGTATACAACGCCAGCCGGTAACACAGGTGAGGAGGAAGAGGGACAGAGAAGTGTTCGTTGCAGGGCATTCTAAGGCTGTCCCTCGAGGGCAGGCTGCTGGTCCCAGGGCTCCAGAAAGATGTGTGATGCTCCGGGGCACCACCAAAACTGCCCTCGAGGGAAAAAGATTGGGATAGAGTTGCTGCCTAGCTGTGCAGCACTCTCAGCAGCCTGGGAAGGCAGAGCTGGGCGTGACAATCCAGCCACCGGCTCTTCAATCTCAGCTCAGACATCCAAGCTCTTTGGCACCTGCCCCTCCCTGGCTACAGAGGCTCAAGAAACAGGCCACCGAGAGAAGCCAGCCCAGGGACGGCCCACAGGGAGGTACAGACGTGGAGAGAATCGGGTTCCAGAGGGAGGTAAGGGCTGGGAAGCAAGGGACAGCAGGCAAGGTTTCAGGAGTTGGGGCGGGAGCCTCGCATGGGGAATGCTGGCTCTTCCTCGCCCTCCTGGACTGCCCCGCACTTACCCTTGCAGCTGTTCTCCTAGGTACTTGGAGCGATCTTGCGGGAGCACCGAATACATATCATCTTCCTCCAACCTCCGTTTATGGCCAATTTTAAACAAGGGGTTTAGCCACCTGTTAAAAATGGAAGGATTTGGGAGTAAACACACACACTAAAAAAGAATAGACTTGGCAAGGAGATGCTCTGTGGCACCAAGGCCGCAGCACACGTGGCAAGAGAGGCCACATCCTCAGCAAACCCGACTGCTAGACTCACCATAGGAATTCCGATTCACCCAACACTAAGAGGAACCAGTCAGCTCACCTCTTCAACCCATCATTCCCCAAGAAGATTCCAGAGGACTGTCACCTACCCAGCCCAGGCTCAGTACAGGTGGGTTTCCCAGATGGGTCAGAGACAAGTCCTGAATGCCTAAGGCCCTTACTCCCAGAAGACGCTCAGCCAGGACAGTCTTTCCCGGCAAGCACTTCGAGATGGAAATCAACCAGCATCTCCGCGGACTGGAGTCTATTCAGTCAAGGAGTAAAAGTAGCTCAGGAACGACAACAGGCAACAGAATTCGAATTTACGCCTGAGGAGGGTTCAGTCAGTGATTCCAGACCTATGCTGAGCAGGCCTTTCCTCCATCCATCCTGCTCAGCTGTCTTTCCTTCAAGGTTGGTCTCTTTCTTCATCCCATCTCCTTCAACAAACCCTTCCTGCGACACCATCACTTCTCACCACAGCACTGCCCAAAGGCCCCAGGACCCCCTGAGCTCTGTGACTACTCCCATCCCTTGTGGAAACACCATTCTCTAACACCATGTCTCACATGGGATAGATCCACAACACGCAGCCACTGAATGGATGGATGAGCTCCTGACCAAGTCAAGCGCTACACCACGCAATCTAGAACACAATTCCACAGAAGCTCCGTAGCCTCCATCACATGCAGTTCCAAACACAAAAAGCAGAAGCCATCCATCCGCTCAAGGGGCGCTCAAAAGAAATGGTCTCCACCCATCACGGCTTGCTGCCCCATTCTATTCGGTGCCATAGTCCCAGGTAAGGCATTCCTGGAGGGCTCCCATGCTTTATTGTTATTGACATAGTTTTTTGGGTTTTTTCCCAGGAATGTGAGAAGTTCTCTCAACAGCGTCCTCTCAGCATGGTGATAAAGACAACCAGCTCAAGAGGCCAGAGGACAACCCTGCCTCTCCTGCCTCGAGCTGGACCCCAATACTCAGCTTCTACAAGCTTTGCAGGCACCGTACGCTCACACAGAGCACAAGCGAAAATCTCAGGGGCCTGCAGGCCAATAAGTCCTCTTCCTCGCACTCTTCTCCTCTCCCCTCAGCCTTCTCTCGCTCAGGCACTGTGCCTCTCCCATTTGTCATTTCTCCTTCTTTCCTGACTTTTTTTTAAAAAACAACTGGCCAGGGGTGGAGAGATGGCTCAGTGGTCTAAAGCACCTATTTGAAACAAGCTTGGCAAAGCACAAGGACCGCGGATCAATCCTCCAGCACCACATGCCAGCCAGCCCCGCCCCCTG